TTGACTACTAGTTCCAGCCGCAGATAAATGACTGGAAGCTTCAAATTCTTGTCCTTCAGACGAGAGCGTCATCGTTTTGGGATTAGGATTGATTGAGCGGCGCTCTTTTCGTTGCCTCTTGCTCCACAACTCGTGGCAGTCCTAAAAAGGCCTTTTTTCAACTTTCATCAAACATTCTCAATATTGATAAAATTTCCTCTAAATATAGAATCAGTCTAGTACAACATGACGTTAATGTAACAATTTTGACGGCTAAAAACATGCTTTGTTCCTCGTGAGTCTACAAGGGACGATCACTATCTCGTCAAAACGAGCATGTTAAAAGTTGATCTCAAATCTGCCTTCCTCATTTGCAAAATGCTACAAGGACATCGTTATCACAATCGTGCGAATTGTACTGCTCAGTCAAATCCAACTATAAAGTGTACTCCTATAGTCACATTCGCGTGGCACTTCCGCCAATTCCTCTTGCATTGTTCTTTTTGGTATACATTTAGAAAACCATATATTGTTCTTCACCTTATTATGAATGGCGTACAACTTTTGATTGACTTGTATAGTGTATATAAGAGACGAATGAAATACCTGATGCTGTGGTAGTCTTAAAGGCGGAACGGTAGCATAATCGAAATTTTTGATCCAGTAATGGCTTATTGCATCTTTAGCGGAAATTCGACGCTTGGGGTCAAGTAGAAGCATTTTATCCATTAAATCAATCGCTCCAGACGGCATTATTCTGAAAAATTGAAACACAGAATAAACATTTCGACAAAACAAGAGATGTAACCAACTGTTCGATTCCGAGCGCGCGTTCGCCGCCCCTCAATAAAATCTCCACTTAATCGCAACTCACTGGGAAAATTCCTCGCGAAGACACCTCACATACTGCCTTTTGCTTCGCAATGTACTGTAAAGAGGCATCTTTTCCACATCCGGCCAGTTAGCTGGGCTGGGAGTACCACATACCTATAGCAAATGGCAAATGCTCATCAAGACATACTCATGGTGACAAAAATGTTACCTTGGAAATCAAATCCAATTGCATTGTTTCATTGTTTCCTTGAAAGAGAGGTTTCCTCGTGAAAAACTCCCCAAGAATGCATCTGAAAATGTCAGGCTAGATTTAAAGCAGCAAAGTTTAGGAAAATTTTCGGCGACAGAATGTCATCTCTGCTTAACATTGGCTTACCTTCGAAATAAAAAAAGTCCTACATCAAATACTGATTTAAGTTTTCTAAGATCAACGCGAACTCCATCGTTCATTATTAAATGTTGATCATGTTGATGATTTCAAGATGCTTTGAAAATTTATGCGACCTGACTTTACAAATCGAAGAAAATACATATCGTTGGTGATAATCGGGAAAAATTTCCCATTAAAATCCGACAATTCATTCAAAAACGAAGAGGAATACTTGTGCTATGTCTCTTCTACAATTCGCATCCAGAGACTAAGAACAGCGATGTAAATTCTTAGAACAAGTCTAGCCCCAAAAGTGCCCAGCCAGGGCATAAACAAATATGACCAATATTATTCCCAAGTCAGGTGTTAAGAAGCACGGTTCGTACAGAGTACTGATTATTAGTAAAATTATCGCAAATCGACGTAGTAAAGAATAAAAAAGTATTACTCAAAATCAATATTTCATTATACTAAATTTTAATGGGGATCTTAGCTTATCCGATTTCAATGAAAGAACCGTTGAAGAGCGATAGTCGCTTCGGACGTTTTGGTCCAAGACCTCTTTTGGCCAGCACGCTCTCAGACTTCTCCCTTTGCATTGAACTTATTTGGCTCTCTCGTCAACAGTGCTCTTTGAATGAAAATTATGGAATCGTCTAGACACGCTGAAAT